CACCGTTTTATAATCCAGCTTGTTAATATCTGCAGTGAGACACATTAACCAATAGGGTAGATAACAGGCGGTAAACGCCAGGGCAACCGTTACGGAGCGTTTGGCCACTTGAATCTCCCGATTCATCGCCCGATTCGTTGACTTTTGTTTTTGACTATTAGTTTGGGTTTTGTTACGAAATTCACACGATTTCTATTAGTTGTAAAATTTTATTAATAAAGCATTGACTTTTATGTGACAAAAGCCAGTCTTAAAGTCACTAAAGTTATTAATAATTTATTAATTTAATTTACTTTTACCAATTCATTAGTTACAATATTTACCTTATAAATGCTAAAATAAAGGGCGTAAATCACCACGGACAATGTCATGGCTATGACCACGGTGCCGAGCACCCAATAATCTGGGTCATCCGAATAGGCGCACAGTTGGGCGTCCATACTCTCCACGTACACCAAATCGCTATGAATATGACTGAACGAACGGCCCATACCTTTCAGCACCGCTAATGTCCACGAAATGGCAATCATAACCCACGCGGGCCTTAGGCTCCGGTTCATCGAGTACTCAACCCTCGAGACCGAGACATACCTATCGATGGCTATGAAGAATATGTGGAGGAATGAGGCAATGGACAGGACGTGACCGATAAACATATGGATGTGACACATGGCGTATCCCATAAGCCAGTCGTTCATGTGTACCACTTCGTGATAGGCGGTCACCGGCATAGCTATCAGTCCCGTTAACAGATCAGTGACGCTGAGCGATAGGATCAGGTAATTGGATCTGATCTGCAGTTTAGGTGTTTTGATGACCGACACAATGACCAACAGATTACCGATAATTGTGATGAATATAATGGCAAACAATAGTATCGATGATAAGAGTTGTATAAAATACAGCTCATAAATAGATATCATAGTAAAATTTATTGAATTATTTGCTGTCATTTTGATAGTTTAAAAATAACATTCAATAAAGTTCTGATTTATTTTATTACCATAAAATTTACATGTAATTTTACATTCATTTACGTACAATTTCCTGTTAAAAATGAAGTTTTTAATTATTCAAAATAATCATTGTATTCATTTTAATTTGTATTATTAATTTAACAAAATTACAAATGATAATATTTATATTTAATATTTGATAACTAAAAATTAAATTTTAAGCTATAATAAATTACATAACAAATATTTACATTTAAATTAAAAGTATTACTCATAAACATTATAAAAAAAACAGTTACGAATATGTAATAACTATACTGTACAAGTGAATTATTGCAAAATGTTGGTAATTTTTTTTAAAATAAATGATAAATACCAAACATTACACAAAACCCAAAATAGCAATCATCATGCTACATTCTCAGCAGTCGTTTAAATGCAATGAGAAATTCATTGTTATAGAGGGCATAGATTATTGGATTAAGCATTAAATTAATATAAATACACCACATTGCAACGTGCATTCCTGCAATCGACTGGTAGGTCAAATGTTGGAGATCTAATGCGATTCTCAATATGAAAAATGGCAAAACACATATGGTAAACACCACGGTCACAATTACCGCCTGTTTGGCCAGTTTAAATTCTTTATCCAGCGCCAGATTGTTTTGCTGCTCAATGCGAGTATTACTATTTGGGATGATCGCAATTTTGGTGAGGAATTCACACGCTTTCTGTATATTATATTTAAAATAAAGTTATAATAAATATACATGTATAGTACATAATTAGTGATTGAAAAAACATAATTTTGAGTTTTGGATTTGTTTGGGTTTTGCAAAATTAATTGTAAAAATCATTAATTTAGTAAAAGTATCTTATTAAATAATTATATAACTATTGTATAACAATATGGCAATTGGTAAATAGTTGTATTAATAGTATTTTAAAATAACCACCATAATTTATTGTTTGGTAATTTGTAAAGTTAAATAATAATGTTCAAAAAATGCCAAGAGTGCAATCGGGAATTATTGTTATAAATCGAAAGTACACTCTGTAGGAAGTACGGTGGTATATTTTATTTGGCCAGACGTCCTCGGGTTTAGCCGCAG